TCAACAATTTATCATGCATTGGAATTTTACATGTAGTAAACACGTTGAGAATAATCATGAGTTCAAACGCCTTCAGTTTGCACGAATAACACGAAAGAACGCATTCGGAATATCGAATCGCGTGAAGCCTTAAAATGTAACAAAAGAAGAATGGGCAGCCTTAAAAAATGAGAAGAAAATGTTAATGCATGTGAAGGACCCACGCTCGCCGAAAATGTCTTCCTTGAAACTGAAGTGGTTTTTCTGAACAATACATTTTAAAGAGATGAACTGATTTAATAACTTCCACTCAACAACTGTATTCATCTATCTGTTTGTGTCATCTTTGGTTCTAAAAGGCTGACCAGAAAATACATACTGACTGATTCTATTTTATTGTGTTATAACGTCAAGTCAAAAGACGACATATGAAATTATTCTGAATGCCAACGGTACAAAACTATTACTTTAGAAGAGTAGATGAATAATTTCTGAGTTTGAATACCGTAGTATAATTCAGTAATAAAAGCAAATATAGAATATGAATTTCTTTGTTAAAGTTTGATAGTGGTATTTCATACTTGAAAACAACGCATAATTTAGGTTATGTCAAAATGATGGGTCCCTTGGTTCATCGGAAGACGTACAAGTTCAGAGTGGCTCCTGTAAACAATTACAGCCGTCTCGAAGGAAAATTTTGATGAAATCATTCCATTTACACTGGATGACATCAGACAACAGGAAAAAATCGAGCCATCGGTACAGCAACTCGTGAATAACATCGCCGCTCATAAACACTATTTTATCAGAAATGATATTCTCATGCGACAACTATCACACCCATTACCATCGGTTCCATTCGTTCCAAAAGGGCATTTACGAGCTGACATACTGAAAATTTACCATGATACATCAGCGAATGGCGCACACTTTGGACGCGACAAAAGCATTAGAAGAATCCAAGAAAGATACTTCTAGTCATCGATGATTTGGGACATTCGTAACCATATTCAATCGTATGTTCCATGTTGTCAAAATGACCATTAGCGTCGCAAAGCACCGGGATCATTGAAGCCGATAAAACCACTGGAAGGAGTCTGACAACTCCTATCAATGGCTTTTCATGGACCGATTATACCTACAAGTGAAGGGGCAAACAAATATATCACTTCGACCACCGATATTCTCTCAAAATTTGACGTTGCCAAGACTGTTCGAGACTGTACCGCGGAAACAGCCGTTCGTTTCCTCAGTGAAGAGTTGATATTAAAATATGCTGCACCTCGGGCGATTCTAACTGACAGAGGTACTCATTTCACGACAAAAATGATGGATGAATTATTCAAACGTGTTGGAGTCCTTCATTCGTATTCAACACCATATCATCCAATGACAAATGGACAAGTGGAACGTTTCAAAGCAATCATGGACGCCAAGATTGCATCACCCTCCAACGATCGTCGAACAACCTGGGACGAACAGCTGCCCTTCATTACATCCAATTACAATACGAGTATTCGTTCAACAACAGGAATCGTCCCATTTGAATTAAGGGTACCCCACCCCCTCTTTTCTTTAAAAATTTTGGATTTTGAGCTGAGCATAGCCTGATCTAGAGGAAAGTATGGGCTACAAAATAAGACCACTCCCAGTACTCCACTACCGTTTTTCAAAAGTTATGGATTCTTGAAGTTTTTCCTACAAAACCTAAAAGCTCAATTTTTTAGTTTCATAAGCTTTTCTCGCATTTTCTGTACATGCAAAATTTGTCTTACACATAGTCTGATAGAAGAAAGTGTTTTCTTCACAATGAGATGTCCCCTAGAATTTTTTCGATGCATTTTCGTGGAAATACAAGCGACAAATACCCTGAAAAAGTGACCTAAGTATAAAATGCGTTTTTCTCGAAAACTATTTTTTTGCTACCAGACTTCATTGTGTCACGTTACGACCCTCCTCAAATTTCATCCGATCGAGTTCAAAATTTTACAACAGATACCCAAGACACTATTGCAGGGGTGATTTTTTGGAATTTTATTTTAGACTTTTCTTTATCGACTTACAGGGTTTCTAAAATTGAAAAACTTGGTTTTTGAGACGTTTTTCAGTATTTTTCCTATAACTCCATCACGAAAGGTCTTAAAACGAACTTCCCAAAAAATGCCTCTGTGATATGACCTTGATTATCGCTGATAATCAATGGAATCGGATGAAATTTAAGGGGGTCGTACTGTGGCACAAGGAAAACGAGTTTTCTCAAAAACTGGTGAACGGCAATAGTTGAATACTCGAAATCAAATCGAAAAAGCGCACCATTGAGTTTCCAATCAGTTCTGAAAATACGAAGCTCTAGCGATTTTTAGTTTTTATTTCACAGCATTTCTACGGATAGCCCAAAAAGAGGGGAGGGGTACCCGGTACCCTTAATGCATCACCGATCTTCTGTAGTTCCACATGACCGACAGCAACCCGTCATTTCTCTTTCTCAAGATCCAGAATATGCACAAAAACTGACCGATTATTTACGTAACACAACTGATGAAGCACGCGCAATTATTCTGAAACAATAAAATCAGTACAAGCAAAGATACAGCAGGAACCGAAACGATTTGACTTCTTTTCTTATATGCTAGGGGACTTCCTTCTCGTAAAACTGCTTAACCCACGACATCAGTTTGATATCCATCACGAGGGCCCATTTTGAATTATTCAGCGTATCGCTACCAGAACATACATCGTTCAACTTGTCAAACAAACAACTTTGACTCGACATGTCACCGTCGACATTATTATTCTGCTTTACGAGAGAGTAGATATATCTAATTAATTGAGCTTAGAAAGGTGAATAGTACGAATATCTGTCATTTGTGTCTTGATCATGTGATGTACATTGTTTTTACTTCAGCAATGCGTTCCGGGAAGATAGGATTTCGCCCTCCCATTGACATATCGAAGTTTGGATAATATCGATTTGAAGTCAAATTTTTTGTTAGAAAAAGATTTCGCTTTTCTCTACTTTTTCCCTTTAACTATTAAAGAGATTTATTATTTAAAAAAGACTAAAGGATAATTACTACTTTTGACTAGGAGGGAAGCATTTTTGAGACTGTCGTCAGGTAAATGATCTATAGAAAAACTAATTTCTTAAAATTTTTCTGCTAGGGTACGATCACTGCAAAGCGGTTTTGAAAGAGAAAAGGGTTTTTGACGTTTTTCGATGGGAGCATCGACTGGTAGAAGGGAGCAGCTGTCGATGCTCCCAGTGCTGGGGGAGTAGTTGTATGAAGCCTTCACGCGATTCGATATTCCGAATGCGTTCTTTCGTGTTATTCGTGCAAACTGAAGGCGTTTGAACTCATGATTATTCTCAACGTGTTTACTACATGTAAAATTCCAATGCATGATAAATTGTTGA